AAACTCTCCTAGTTCTTCAATCATGCATCAGAATACTGTGGATAATTCTAAGAAGCCCACCACGAATATACTTCCTTTATTGTCAGATCGAGTTAGTCTACATAGTGGGCCACAAATTGGATCCAGCTCTGGGGCCCACAATGAAGCTTCTGATTTGGACTCTGATTCCTATGGTCCATAGACGCTAGTAACTGGGTCCAAAAGGAATAAGACAAAAGTTCACCCCACTCCAATATCCAATAGGAATGCTCCTAACAATCATCCAGGGAAAAACAAGACTCAGGGTCTCAAGGTTCAAAATCAAAAGCTTGTGAACTTGAGTAATAAATCTTCCCACAGCTCGAGACATTTATGGAAGGTTTTGGATACTAATACCTCAGGAGATGAAGCGTCTGAGCATTCTATTGTTCAAAAGTTAATGCCAACTACTTCAACTATGAAAATTAACTCTAGTTCTACTACCCCTTGTGCTATTTTGAACTCTGATGATCTAGCTTCTAATAGTACCATTATTCCTCAAAATAAACACTTGGCTTCAGTGTCAGTAGAAAATCCCATGCAATATATTGCCTCTACTGATTTCCAGATTTTGCCTTCCCCTATTCCATCAAATATTTCTACAAAAGAATAAACACTTATTCCTGCATTTACTTCCTCACCTAACTCTACTAAGAAATCTTCTAGCTCAAGTTTTTCCATTTCTGGTGACTCTCCTTCTGTTAATCTTGTTTTTAATAATGGAAAACAAAAAGATAATTGTTCCCTCATCCCTGACCTTCACCCAAGTGTCTCCGAATTCTCCTGCTCAATCAACCCCAGTTTGGAAGCCAGTGCCTTCCAGAATTCACCCTCCATCAACTTCCCCTGCTCCCCTGCCTCATCCAAACAACCCTCCTCCGATTTCAACTGCTCCATCAACCCAACTTCAGATTCCTCCATCTCCCTTGGCCTCTCCTCCCCCTCACACAACTTACCAATTCCAATCACCTCTGTTCCACAGGAAATGGATTTCTCAGCAGCTGCCATCCCCTCAAACCACCCTAGCCTTGTTTCCTCAGGTGCCGAGACCTCTGTGCACTCCGATTCGAATTCCAGCCAGCCAGTCTCTGCAGTCAGCTTCGGCTATGGCAATCGTGGATGCCATGAGGCGCAAGGAGGAGATGCTACCTCCTCATGCACGAATGAGTCTGTCACTCCAATGGCCGTCTCACGATCGACTGATGAACTTCAAGAGAGCATACGAGAGGCTTCTGGTCACTCCCTTGCGCTTAGTAACAAAAGGACAAGATATGGCAAAGCTGGGCTACCTTATGGCGATCTACCAAACTCAAGAGGAGGTCTTAGGGATTCAAGCTCAGTTCTTTTATGTTCATCAGCCGATGAAAAACATGGTGATAAGGAGCTACATATCTCTAGTGAAGGTGGAGGACGTGCATGGGCTGGGTCATTGGGCTCAGTGGAGGGATTGAGAGGAGTTCTTTCTTCCTCCAAACCCTCTCTGAAATGAATTTCCAAGGTTAACCCCCCAGAAAGTTCTTCCTTTGTTGAAAATGAAGTTGATAGTTTGGAACGTGAGAGGGGTCACTAATGATGATTTCTTGCCTCATGCATGGGATTTGATCAGTGCTCATAGGCCAGACATTTTGATTCTTCTTGAAACAAAATGTGGTGCTGGTAAAGCTTCTGAATTGAAGACGAGATTAGGGTTTTATGATCATAGAGTTATACCTTCTGTAGGTCTAAAAGGGGGTATTTGTGTTTTTTGGAAGTCCACTTTAGATCTTTTGTTGTATACTAACTCTGAAGAGAAGTTTCATTCTCTGTTTAAGTTTCATAATCACCAACCTGAAGTGCTTATAACTGGATTGCATGCTCCTAGTGTACCTGCTGAGAGACATCCACTTTGGAATTCCATGCAAAATAACCTTCCTCCTTCATCTACACCTTGGCTATTAGTAGGGGATTTGAATGAGGTTACTTCTCAGCAAGAGAAGCAGGGTGGTAGGGTGTTTCGAAGCTCGCAATGTCATGATTTCAATAATTTCTCTGATGCAGTTGGGATGATTGACTTAGGAGCCAGGGGAAACCCCTATACTTGGGAGAACGCTAGGTTGGGAAGAGCTCACATTCGGGAAAGACTAGACCGTGCTATAGCCAATGCTGCTTTTGTTGCCTCTTTCCCTCAAGTGCAGGTAACTAACTTAGTTTGAACTTACTCTGATCATAGCCCAATCCTTGTTTCCTTCTGTATTCCTCCCTCTAAAGGACCTTTTAGATGTAAAGAGGTGTGGCTTTAACATCCTAATTTTAAGGATTTCTTTGTTTCTCAATGGTTTGATGATAATATTCCTTTACCCTTTTTGGATGGTCGAGCTAGGTTTTTATCTAATATTGATAATTGGAATACTAACATTTTTGGTAATCTTAGTCAAAGAAAAAAAATAATCCTTTCCTGACTTAATGGCATTCAAAAATCATTGGCTGTTAAGTATTCCTCTTTCCTCATTAATTTGGAAAAGTCACTTCTTCTTGATCTCAATGCTTTATATAATATGGAAAGAGTCATTTGGGCTCAAAAGGCTGGTGTGAATTGGAGGAAGTTTGGAGATTATAATACTAAATATTTCCATATTCTTGCTAAGGTGAAAAGAAGTAAATAAAGGGAGAATTATTGCTTTAAATGATCTAGATGGAAATTTGATTGAGGATAATGACTCTCTAAAGAGTTTAGCCAGAGATCATTTTATCTCTTTATTTTCTTCCTCCAATTCTTCACCTGTTGAGTCTCTTCCATGCCCTGGTATCCTTGGTCTTGCAGAGGTTGAATGTGATCTTATGGTTTCCATCCCTTCCATTGATGAAGTTAAATCTAATCTGTTTAAAATGGATCCCATAAAAAGCCCAGGTCCTGATGGGTTGCAACCCATATTTTACCAAAAATTTTGGGATCATCTAAGTGCCCATATCCATCTCTTTATTTCTCAAATTTTTAGGGATTGTTGTATTCCTAAGGATGTTAATCATTCTTATATTACTTTGATCCCTAAAAAGGATAATCCTATGGCAATGACTGATTTCAGACCTATTGGATTGTGTAACACCATATACAAGGTTGTAACCAAGATCATTTCCTCTAGACTAAGAAGTATTCTTCATAGAATCATCAGCCCTCTTCAGTCTAGTTTCATCAAAGGGAGGTGTATGGAGGATAATATTATCCTTATCAAAGAGGTAGCTCATCTTTTTCATTAATGTAAAAAGGGGAAGAATGTTATGGCTTTAAAATTAGACCTAACCAAAGCTTATGATTGTTTGGAGTGGTCTTTTATTTTAGATACTCTTCATCATCATGGATTTCCTCAGCCTTGTATTGACCTAATTATAAGCCGTATAACTTCTACTTCTATTTCAGTTCTTTGGAATGGTGAAGTCACTGAAAGTTTCCTTCCTTCTAGGGGTATCAGGCAAGGGGATCCTCTTTCTTCTTATATTTTTGTTTTGTGTATGGAAAGTCTTTCTTTGATCATTGAGGATAGTGTGTCAAAAAAGGAGTGGAAACCTCTCAAATTATCCAAAAATCATAGTCTTTCTCACCTCTTTTATGCTGATGATGTCTTCCTATTTGGTCCAGCTATAGTTTCTAATCTCCAAATCATGTTAGATACTCTTGCCAAATTTGGAGCCTTTTCAGGTCTAAAGATTAATGACCTTAAATCCAGTATTATCTTTCCACCAAAAATGGAGTATTATATAAGATCTCAAATTGCTTCCATAGCTAATTTTAAATCCTCTTGTTCTTTTGGTAAGTACATAGGGGTCAACATTAGTCCTAATAACCTAAAAAAAGGGATTACTGGGATCTACTCACTAAATCTCTTGATAAGATCAAAGGTTGGCAGGCCAAACTTCTAAACATGGCTGGCAGGTGCACTTTGATTAAATTTGTGCTTAACTCCTATCCTCTTCATGCTATGAAAACTGGTCTTCTTCCCTCTTCTGTCCTTGTTGATCTTGAAAAGCAATGTAAGAGGTTTCTTTGGAATAGAACTGAGTCCATTAGATACATTCCAAGAACCAAGTGGGGTAATGTTACTCTCCCAACTGCTTTATGAGGCTTAGGAATGAGGTCTTTGAAAGAATGGAATCTTTGTTTCATGGAAAAACTTTGCTGGGTGATTCTAACTCAACCTGATAAACTCTGGGTTAGAATCCTCAAAGACAAATATTTCAGGAGACCTAATTTGCTGGACTGTATCCCCAATTCTTCTCAATCCCCTATATGGAGGGATATCTTAAAGGGTAGATCCATTCTATCTAAGGGATTGATTATTAGAATTGACAATAGGGAAGATACTTCTCTCTGGTATCATCATTGGATAGGGGAAGCTCCTTTATATATGATCATGTCTTCTGAAGTCCCTGATTCCAAAGCTCATTAGAGAGTCTCTAACATTATTAGAAATGGGAAATGGTTTCTTGATAATATTATTCATGTGCTCCCTTCTTTCATTGTCCCTCTCATTCTCAGTATACCTATTTCTATTATTGATTCGGATGCTTCTCCTGATCACCTTAGATGGCAACATCATATTTCTGGCTCCTTTACTATCAAATCAGCTTACTATCATACTACTAATCCTTCCCCCATTACCCTCCCTTTTTCTTTCAATTGGAAAATCTTTTGGAAGTTGAAAATTCCTTATAAATACATAATGTTTATGTGGAATTGTATCCTTTCCCTTATTCCTACAACTTCTGTCTTAGCCTCTAAAATTCCAAATTTTGATAGCACTTGTACCAGATGTCAGTCTCATTCAGAGTCTTTTATCCATCTCTTCAGGGATTGTACCTCTTCTATCATCCTATGGAAAATGATTTTCTAAAAAATAAAGCCACCTCCCAAGTTCATATATGATATCTTCATGAATTCTGATTGGAATGGTTGGTTGGCTTTCAATCTTTCTCATACTAAAAAATGGAGAGCTATTTTCTCAATAGAAATGTGGCATATTGGGAAGCTTCGAAATGGAGTGATTTTTAACAATGACACTTACAATTGTAATTCTGTGTTCAACAGATTTATAATTGATTATCAAATCACTAACTTTGTGTTGCAGGGAACTGATAAAGGTAAAAGTCCAATGGTGGATATGAGGTGCTCAACTTCTATTGCTCTCAGCTGGAAACCCCCAAGAACTAGATTCTTAAAGCTCAACACTGATGGAGCTTGGAAAAATTCAGAGGAAGGTGGGGGTGGTGGTGTGTTTAGAACTAATAAGGGGGAATGGTATTTTGGCTTCTCCAGTAAATACAATGTTGTCTCTGCCTTGGCAGCTGAATTGTATGCTCTTCGTGAGGGTATAAATTATGCAAGAGCTATTCCCGTTCGATTCTTGGAGGTGGAAACAGATGCTCAAGCTATCAAAGGATTGCTCAACAAGGAGCCAGAGGATATGCACCATGAGCTTGCTGCTTTGATTATTGATGTGGGAAGGTTGCTGAGAAACAAGGATATGACCATTATCTTCAACCATATTCCTAGAGAGACTAATTTTGTAGCTCACTATCTTTCGAGATATGCTATGGATATGCATATTGGTCACAAACCTCACTACACAGTTCCAGCTAGTGTAAAGGCAGCTTATGATGCTGATATTCGTGCAATGGGTGCTATTGCTTAGGCCTGCAGTTTGTTTTGTAATGGTTTTTGGAGCATCATACATGCTTAAACTTTTAATCCTTTGCTACTTTGTTTATGTTTTGTTCCAGTGGTTAACTTGCCTTTTGGACATCTGCAAGTTACTAATGTTTAGGTTGTATTATATTTAGGGCTTTGCTCAAGTAATATATGCTCTCTTTCTCTTAAAAAAAATATGAAAAGAATTCATTCAATATATAATTTGTAGAATAAAACCAATAATTAATTACTCCCTATGAAACTATGAAAGATTTGAGAAATGAACACATTGAACAACCTTGCTACCACCACCATTGAACACTAACAATCGCCCTACAAGGCACGCAAAAAATTCTCTTCTTCCCTCGTTCCTACCACCACCATTATTTTCCCAAATCATGAGCAACCTTGCTTCCCATCTCCCTTGAACAAGAAGCGACCATGAATACCTTCAAAACATTGTTGTGGGTGACTGGGTTTTATGGGAAGTAAATGCAATTGATGAATAGTGAGGTAAGGTGGTTGCTTTGCTGGAGAAATTAAAAAATAAAGAGTCATATGGAGAGGAGAGAGAAAGGTTGCCTCATACGAGTAAGTGGGCGGCTACAAGAGAGAAGATATGAGAGAGAATAAAAACCCTAAGGATATTTCAATTTTAAAACAGAAAAAAAGTACAGTAGAAATGCTATTAACGGGTAGTCGGGTACCCGCGTCCCTAGCAAATCGGTCTATGTCCCGACCCGGATACAAGGCAATTTTCCCGGGTCGGGTACCCGACCCGAAAAAACAGTTTTTTCTCTTAAATTCCCCATCGGGTATTTAACGGGTCATCGGGAAATCGGGTCAGGACAATCGGGTCGGGTTTTTTTTGAACACCCCTAGTTGTGGTAGTTGTTGTTGCTGCCATGGGAAGAGGAGGGAATCCAAGAAGACGGTGGCTAGGTCTGGCTTACTCCGGCGAGTGGTTTACTTCGGCATGGGTGGGAAGAAGAAGATATTTTTTTGTTTAGTTTTTAATTGTTTAAAAAAATTATATATAAAATCCAATTAAAAAGTGACACGTGTCAAATTACCCTTTAAAACAGGTTACCAATTCAATCAACCGGTCAATAAATGAAAAAGACTATTTTGAGAATATGGGATACTCCGTACAAAGGTGAAATTATTTCTGAAATACGCAAATGTATGATTATTTTGAAAAGATGTGTCAAACGTGACATTATTCTTTTTAATTTTTCCTTTAAAAAAAAAACTATATCCATATGCTTCACCTCTTTGTTCAATTTAAGAAACTCGAATATCTGCGGGCCTGCGGCTGGCGGCCCAGCATAGAGCGCACCCTAATTTGGGCTGCTTAGTACTTCCAAGTTCCAACTATAAAATCCCTCCACAACTCATTCTCAATCACAACAAACTCAGAAACCCTAATTTCTTCTTGTATTCATCCGTCTTTAATTGTGCAGTTTTCATCTAAAACCTTTTCAAACTTTCTCAGCAATCTCTTTCGTTTTTCATATTATGAGCCTGACTATGATGATATTTCATGTCGCCCCAGTCTTACAAGCATCTCAATTAGATGCTGTAATATGGTGATTGACCATTTTTTATCTGATTCTTCATTTTTTAATTTTCAAATCAAACATTTTTTCTGAATATATTTTGCAAGGAGATGTGAGGATATACTTTACCCAATATATTTTCTGAATTCAAATTGATGAATTCTTTTTACATGCACTACCATCTGATCTCTCTTGCGTTTTTCAACCAATTTAATTTATGAATTTTTTTTGGGTTTTTATCAGTTTCAATTTTTTTTTGATAATCAATTTATCAATAAAAACATGATTTGCGAACAATTTTTGTTATTTTTAATTAATCAAATGCAATCAATGATGAAAAATTATCCGAAAAATTCCTGAGTTAATTCAGTGATTAATCGTATAAATATTCACCATCTTTCGGCTGAGGTTGCATAAATTTTATCATCAATTTATTATATTGCCCAAGGTATCTAGTGCTTAACTTCCTTGTAGTTGGGTGCTTCGTTTTGTTGGGCAAATATTGTGAACAGATTTTGCGACACAGATTGCTCGATAATTTCACGGGCTTTCTGTTACTTATTTCTCTGTTTACATTTCGTCTTTATCGACTTACTTTTGTACATGTTCGGGATTATTTGTTACGTTGATAGTGAAATTTGAATTGGTCATGTGATAATTAAATTGGGACGAGTATTGATACAGGGTCTGAAGTTTGACTCTTTGGCTATATTGTAGTGCCTTAGGGATGAATGCAGCACCCGATATTAAACCCACTCTTGTATTAGAGTTCAGCTTATTACTATCAGTAAGCTGGGATTATGAGTTTGGGATACTGTGAATGACAACATTTTTTACTGGTAACATGAATTGGATTGCTCTATTTTATCAAAATGTGAATATAGAGGGAAAGGAATAGCTCTTTTAAGGGGTTTGATCTTCTTTGATGCATTAGATTTGTAAGATGTAGTTCACCAATTTTCTTGGATTCAAGAGTTGATCTTTTGGTAGTTGAAGGGATTGTTGCATTAGTTTTGGCAGTTAAAAGTTTGCATAGCTATTAAGATAGGTTAAGCCATGGATTGGTGTGAAGTTTTGACTTGATAATCTGTTGTTCATTTGATTAGCTTCTATCTAGTGCAACAGTTAAATAAAATTAACATCTTAAATTTGTCAAGTAGTAATTTTTTATGTATATACTGGTGAGATAACAGATCATTTCCACTTCTGAATTGAATTGTTCTCAGGAACGAAATGTTCTGTGCTTTGTTGTGACTTTTGCTTCACTGGCGGATCAATCTAAATTTAGTGACTTGAATTATGGACATAATCTTAATTCATAATACGATGTGTAAGGACATTAACTAATAAACTGATATAAGAAATTAAACTTAAATAAATGAGAACAAATTTTAGTTCGTTGCTCATAGGCTCATAGCAACTATGACATGGAATCTAACTTAGGGCCTATTCTGAATATATTTTATAAGAGAAGAAAATTAAATTGGAATTTCAACAATTTACTGAAAACAATTGAATTGAATTAATTAGATTTAAACTGAATTGAATAGAGTTAGCATGAATTTTTTTTGAAAGAAGAAAATTAGAAACTAATTGAATGGAGCTGAACTAAAATTAAGGTGAGTGGAACAAGTTATTAATCTTATTATCACTCATAACACAGCAATCAAATAATTATGTGAAACAAATTTTGACAAAAAAAAAAAAAAACCTTTCATTTTTTGGTAGGAGCCTCATAGGACAAATGGACCAAATGAGCGAGCAAACAGTTTAGTCAGAAGACTTGGTTGAATGATTGATTGATTGGATCAGATGACAAGCGAAATGAAGGAGTGAGCCAAAGGACGAGAAATTCTTGGTGTCAAGTACGTAGAGACTAAGGTGGTCTCTAGTAAGGTCATTCTCGTAATTAAAAAAAAAAGAGTACCTTATCTGTAAGTACCAACAATATATATAAACAATACCATCCCGAGTAGTATTAAAATACTATCATATAACTCGTTGGTATCATCATAATACTGCGGTTGGTATCATAAAATAACAAGTATTGTTGATGGTATAAATAGTTTTATAGTTGGTGTCCTAATTAAAATTTTGTTGATATCTAGCAGCGTTCGATTGGTATCGGAGCCATACGGTTAAAAGCTAAATTAAGGCATTATTAAGGCATTAATAATTAAGTAAAACTGGAGAACACTAGGCCCTCTACTGAGTGTAAGAAACCTGATTTTAAGCATTATTATCATATTCCTGAAAATACTAATAATTTTGGCCCAGTCCTTAATTATATAGTAGATCAAATTGACGAATTAAGATCGGAAGTTGATAATATACATGCTCGTTGTATTAATATCGAAAATAAGATATCAATAACCACAACAGATATTAATAAAAAAGTAAGCGATCTAAACGAGCAGGGTAAACAAGTTCAACTTGCTTTAACAAACGAAGTTAGACATCAATTTGGAAAAGAAGCATCACCTAATAAAGATAAAATCGTCTCATATAAATATAAATATCCTTTCCAAAACCTAGATAAAAATAAAAAGTTTACTGTAACACTCCCTAAAAGACCTACTAGTAACCAAGAAAAGAATAAAGAAACTAAACATGAGCCCTCGTCTTCAGGAGAAAACAATAAATGAATTACAAGTTCTATTCGACAAAGAAGAAGACCCTAGTAAGCTTAACGGAATCATGAATTTAATTTCTAAAAAAGGGATTGCTTCTGATAATGAAATAGAGGGAAATAATTATGCTACTTTAGAGGAAGATTTATATCAACAAATGGGATTAATGAAGTTAAATGATCTAGACTTTCTACCCATAGAAGTTGTTCAACGAAAGATCGAAAATAAACTAGGTAAAAGAGTAATGAATAATAATGATGTTGGTGAGGAAATTATTAATGAAAATATTAATATAAACAATGTTATCCAAAGACCTAGGTATCAAGGAGAAGGAAGTTGCACACGACCAAGATACATACCAGGGAAGACTACCCGGTTTAATGTCAAGATTATGCCTACTCAAATACCTAAACAAGAAGAAGTGACTCTGGAATCCATAAGTCAAACTGGTTATAAACTTAAGTTAGACGGAGTAAGAGATAGATAAAATGTTTTAGATTAGTGGAAAAAGAGCATGAGTAGTGTACTTAACCTAAACACTGACTGGACTTTTGAAAATTTCTTAAATTATATCGAGCATAGTTTTTATGGCTGTGTAGAAGATTGGTACGATGGTATAGACGAAGAAGTCAAAACTACTTTAACAGCTAGTGAATCTCCTACTAGAATGTTTAGGCAGTTATGCCAATACTTGAGTTAGAATTCATTGGTCCAAGAGCTGATCCTAATGAAAAACGAATGGAATATCAAAGAAAGTTAAGTAATTTGTCCATATATAATATGAAATATGTTGAAAGTTACATTATGGAGTTTGA